ACTGAAAACAATTAAGGATTTCTTTATTCCTTCCAACTTTAACCATGTGATTGATGCAGTCAGGTCTGTGGCTGGATATGATGAGGAAACAAATCAATACAAGACTCCATCCTTGGCCCTCAAACTCGGCCATAGCCTCAGAAAGCTAGCAGATATTCTTGAATGTGACTCAAAAATGGAGCATTGTGTTGATGAACTATTTATTAAAAACCTCCAACGAAGCCGGCTGCTTTTTGAGAAGAGGTGGGACGTCTGTGTTTCTTCTGCTGCCCTACAGACCCTCCGGCAAGCCAAGTGGAACACTCCGGACCTGCTCCCTCTGACTGAGGACGTTAGAGCCATGCATGCACATATTGAGGTATGTCGACCTGAATATGTGCAAACCCTAATAAGTGAGCCAACGTCTAAGCATTGGTCTAAACTGGCAGTTTTGACTCTTTGTGAGGTCATCATTTTCAATCGAAGAAGGGAAGGTGAGGTTTCAAAGATGCCACTGACAGCCTTTACCTTAAGAAGTAAGACTGGGATCCATTCTGACATTGCTCTGGGACTGTCCCAACTTGAGAAAAAGCTGTGTCAGCATTTTCAACGCATTGAAATTAAAGGGAAAAGAAGTCGGAAAGTGGTGGTTCTTTTGACTCCTGAAATGATTGCTTGGATGGAGGTGCTGGTGGAGAACAGAAGGGCCTGTTCCATCTCTGACCATAACCCATACTTCTTTTCCCGCCCGGGCGCAGACACCCACATCAGGGGATCAGACTCCCTACGCCAGGTAGCCAAAGAATGTGGTGCGGTGCATCCAGAGATGCTATCCTCAACCAAACTTAGAAAGCACATAGCTACTATGTCTACAGTTCTCAATATGAAAGAGAATGAGATGGACATACTTGCCAACTTCCTCGGCCATGACATTCGCATCCACAGGCAATATTACAGACTACCAGAGGGGACACTGGAGCTGGCCAAAATCAGCAAAGTGTTGATGGCCATGGAGCAGGGAAGAGTGACGGAATTCGAAGGAAAGAGCCTCGACCAGATACAAATTGAGCCTGAAGGTAATTCTTGATATTATTAAAATATGTATGATTTTTTTCCCCTAAAGGCCACTTGTATTTTTATTTTCTGTGCGACAGGGAGAGCAGTAGAGATCCTCTCACAAACGGACGGGCTAAAAGAAACTTCAAGCGGAGAACCTTCAACCATTCATCCAGATGCACCCCATGGTAGTGGCAGTGCCCCTTCTGGTAAGTGTACCAGGTGGGGGATTACAGCCAGGCTGCTTGGTCCTAACCCTGGGAGTGTATATTGCTAATATATTTTTATTTCTCTCCCTAGAACGTTAGAGAAAGCCATGGTCTGCATCTGAGGTGAAGGCTGTGGAGAAGACCATGACACCTTTCATACAGACTGGAAAGGTCCCTGGGAAGTCTCACTGCCTGGCCTGGCCTGGCCTGGCCTGCATTAATGCGTCACCAGATGACCTTAGACATCGGACATGGAGTGGCATTAAATTCTATGTCAAAAATAGAATCACTGCAATTCGAAAACAAAATCTAAAATAAAATTCCTTTAAAATAGTTGTTTGGTTTCTATTGACTGTTTTGTATTACTTAAAGTCTTGGTAAAAAAAGATTATGTCTATGGGTCCCATTCTGAACGGCCCTGTCAAAGGGACCCACCAGGTAACAAAAACGTGTATGTGTGTGTGTGTGTGTGTGTGTGTGAGTGTGTCTGTGTGTGTGTGTGTGTGTGTGTGTGTGTGTCTGTGTGTGTGTGTGTCTGTGTCTGTGTGTGTGTGTGTGTGTGTGTGAGTGTGTCTGTGTGTGTGTGTGTGTGTGTGAGTGTGTCTGTGTGTGAGTGTGAGTGTGTGTGTGTCTGTGTGTGAGTGTGTCTGTGTGTGTGTGTGTGAGTGTGTCTGTGTGTGAGTGTGAGTGTGTGTGTGTGAGTGTGTCTGTGTGTGTGTGTGTGTGTGTGAGTGTGTCTGTGTGTGTGTGTGTGTGTGTGTGTGTGTCTGTGTCTGTATGTGTGTGTGTGTGGGTACCCTTCCTCTCCCCATCCTTCCATGCACCTTGCCTCCCCCCCTCCTCTTCGTCCTCCTCGTCCTCCTCCTCTCACTGGCTGGCGTTGCGTAGTCTCCCTCCCTCACTGGCTGGCGTTGCGTAGTCTCCTCCCTCACTGGCGCTCCTCACACCCAGACAAGCGCACACCTCCACGATGTGTCACTCTCCACCTGCCTCTGCTTCTCGTCACTCTCGCCATCACTCCTCCATTCTACCCACACTTTCCTTTCCACCAAACATATTTTGTGTGTGTTCTCATTCTGTTTGCCATGTGTTCTCTCTCTCTCAGTCCCCCCTACGCTCTGTGTCACAGCCTCGGCACAGAAAGACACAGGCGGCAGCGAATCAAAGAACCCGGGAGGAGACCAGAACAGACGCAAAACGGGTCTGAGATAGAGAGAGGTGTTTTATGGGCCAAGACCCAAAGCTCATTTCTGAAGGACTAAGCCGGGAGCAGACAGGCTGAAGTAGAGACGGGACATCCAGCACAGCCAGCGCTCGCAGCACCAGGGTATGAACACTTTAAAAAAACTTGAAAAAACCTCTTGAAATATGGTTGTTCTGAAAAACTCACTCATTCTGTTGCTTGTGGGCATGCATTTGCTGCGCTGTCACACTGCACCGGCGTCAGGGACTTTGACTAATTGTAAAACTATTCTCCGGACTCTGGCGGAGAAGAGACTTTTTATTCCCTCCATTTCGTATTTATTCTAATTAATTCCCCCCTGTGCGGACCCTCAAAGAGCGTCTCTCTCGACACGCTGCCTCTGCCGTCTTCTGTGTTTCCCCCCTCTCTCTCTCCCTCCATCTGTCTGCCTTTGAGAAGCAAATAATTGGATGTGGAGATTGGCTTTTCTGTGGCTGAGTTGGAGGATTGAGTCTGGAACCAACACACAAAGGCAGTGTGTGGACATACACACCTGGAGCTGAGAGAGTGTGTATGAGGCACTGCTTTATGAGGTCCGTTTCTTTAATTACAACAAGCCAATCTTAGTTACAGGTTGTTCTGAAAGTCTGTATTTACTCATTTTCGATCTGCATATTTATGGCGCATTAGTGAAGTCTTGGTAAACTCAAACCAGGGAACAATCTTGATGCATGTTTGAGGATTCACATTCTCTGCACCCAGAAAAAAATGGGGAAAATAAGAGAAAATATGAATCCATGGAGCCAGGGCACGTAAGGAGTAGGCTTTAGGAAGCGGGAGAATGTGCGAGTGACCTTTGAGAAGATTAGTGTCGGCGGTATTTCCCCGGAGAGAGGGGATGAGAAGGGGAAGAGTTGAGGAGCTTCTAAGCACCTCGGACATGAGAAGTGTTGTAATGCTCTACGGCTATCCCCCGACATGTCCGCTCTTGGGTAGATAACACCCTGCTCTCCGGGTTTCGCCGTGCCCCAAAAGGACATCCACTCCAAACGAGGGGCATCTCTGACAGAGCGAGGACGCATTCCATTCATGTTTGTCTCTTACACTTTCTCTTCTTCTTCATCTTCCCTTCCCGCGCAGCCTTCTCCTCCTCCGTCCACCTCCTCCCATCATCCCATCCACTCTCATTGTCCACACACTCCAGCAGAGAGGCAGCGGGCGGGACTTAGTGTGTGTGTGCGTTCATGAGCACTCGAGGTGTGAAGTCGGTCATTGCTCCAGTGCAACAAACCGGCGAGCGAGCCAGGAGGGACCCCACAGAGGTGAGTACTGGTGCTTAAAACGCTCACAATGCTTCCCCATGTTGTGTTGGATCTCTCATATCCTTCAAATTCATGTGTGTGGGTTTTATCTTGAGTGAAACTTGGAGCGTGTAAGAATGCGATTGCCACACTGTGCTTTAGTCCGGTGCATGCGGCGGTGTGCGTGTGTGTCTTTGTGTGTGTGTGTGTGTGTGTATCTGTGTGTGTGTCTGGGAGTGTGTGCCCAGAGGGGGAGCTTGCTTCTCTCTGTACGTGCTCGGCTTGTGAATGACTGACCGTGGATGGAGTCTTGCACCCGGTCAGTTCACACCAGAATACTCACTTGTATCGCATTTGCTTGACATTCTACCAAGTTATTTAGAAATGCAAATTACAAACACGCATTTTATTATCAACGTAACCCAAATACAGCACATAGTGAGGCAATTTTAAATACCTCCCGCCTGTTTGTAGGGCGAACAGGAATAGATTTTAAGCTAAATCAGGACGGAGAGCTACCCCCCTCCCCTCTCTCTCTCTCTCTTTACCCTGCACTGCCAACAGCATCACTTCTACTTCCCCCCGAAAAAGTTGAAACGATATGAGCAAATTTCAATTACGTGTTCTGAATATGACGCCATCCGCTGAAACATCACAGAAACACAGGCAAACATACTTCGCCCCGGGTGCTGGACGTGTTATAACAAAAGACTAGGGAGATTTGGTGACTGCGGAGATTGCATTCAGAACAAAACAATATGGGAAGCCTTTAAGGTGATTAGGTCTGCATTTCCCTTATGTCAGCTTTGGGAGAGTTTAAGTCTCATGGATTTGTCTGTTCCGCCTCTTAGTTGCTACAGTATCTGGCTTCGCTGGTGAAAGCAGCCGGATTAAGCCCCTAAGACAGGAGTTAAGATACAGATCTCCACTTGATGAGGTTCTTGGTGCCTATCTCTGAGCCTACCTGTCTGTCTGTCTTTCTGTCCGTCTAAGTCTGGCAGCTATGGAATAGGTCACGGCCCGCCAGCTGCCTCAAGCCCCCTGGAGAGACGCAGTGGAAAAAACCCCAATCTGGAGATGTGTGTGTGTGTGTGTTCAGATGTCAACGTGTGAGTTTGTGGCAGGGAGATAACCGCGAGGTGGCTGGGTAGAGGGATAAGCAGCAGCAGCACCTGGCTCTGGAGGAGAGAGGGAGGAACGATTGGAGATGTGAAAGGAGATTCTGGAGTGAAGTTTGCGGGATCTACCTCGGAGCCAGAGCAGACGCCATGACCTCCCCAACCCTCACACGCCAAAGAACAAAAGGAGAGATAATACATGCAGCTCTCCTCTGGGCGTCAGGAAGCACAGGAGGAAATTGGAACAAGAAAGGGATGAATCAAGGGAGAGATGACAGGAAACAGAGCAACAGGAAAACTCGCCTGGAACCGTCAATTAGTGATTGGACGAGTCAAGCTTTGTCAATCATCTGCAGCCTCAGTAATCTGTAACTCTTCTCTACATCTATCTTTGTCATTAATCTAAAATAATATCGAAGCGTATTGTTTAGTCTAATCAGCTCTATCCACAGTCTAATGTACAGCTATACTCTCAGTTCATACTGGGTAATACAACCTCCTAGTGGTGACAGATGGTACTGCAGATATGTAATCATAATGCGCTGAAGTGAGTGATCAGAGCGGCGCGGTCGCACGTGGGCGTGAGAAGCCTGGATCTCGCTGCACCTTTGGTTTCTCTCGTCTTCTCCCAGTTTTAATTAATGACAGTACTGCAGAGACATGCCGGCGCCTCACTCTTGGCCACTGATTTCAGCTGTTAATTAAAGAAGTGTTAGCTGTAAGTGAATAAAACATGTATCAATCCCTCTTCCCACACACGGACCCCTCCCCCGCTTCCTTTCTGCTGCTTTTATCTTCAGTCTGCTGCCTTTATCTCCTCATCTCCTCCACTACACTCATATGCTTCTTTCTATTTTCTATATTTCTCTTATTTACCCCCTTCCCCCAGTTATCGCTCCTGTACCCTCCATCATTCCCCAGAGGTGAACCATGTGTGCAAGCTGTTGCTGGCAAGGGCAACACAATCTCTGATAGAGCCACAGTAGCTCTGATGCCATATACAGTTTGTGCGTCCGCAGATACCACACACACACACACACCACACACACACACACACACACACACACACACACACACACACACACACACACACACACACACACACACACACACGCCTTGTAGACACTGCAGGTGCTGTATCAAGATAAATGAGCCGTCATTAGCCAATCAGGTCAGCCGGTGGGAGGGCGATGGAATAAGGAGTAGATGGGCTGGTGGAGGTCAGTTCGTTGACAGCGCTGTGTAGATAAAGTGTGTTTTATGTGTGAGTGTGTTGCCCTGGCGCGGGGAGATAGAGATTTCCTGATTGAACGTTAGAGTTTTCTCCTGGTGCATGTGCCCCCCCTCCACTTCCTCCTCTGGGGAGAGCAGTCATACTGAAGAATGCTGTGTGTGTCTGACGCTCTAATTGGTATCTCCGGCCGGTTGTTTATGTCTTCATCGTCAGCTCGTCAGAGGAAGAGTCAGGGGCGAGGCGGAATTAAAAGCTTCTTTACATGTCTCCTTCTGCAGCTGGAAAAGATGTCATGGGAAGTTATTTTACTTTGTTCTGCTCCTGAAGGCTCTTTTCAGCAAACAGCTATAAAACCAATTAAAAAGGATTCTTCATACAGTAGCATAATCAATCAGAGTGTGTGTGTGTGTGTGTGTGTGTGCGTTCAGGCGATTTCACATGCATGCCCTGGTAACATTTACTCTAGTTCCTGTGCTAATGGATTTATGCAGAAAGGGCCCAATCTCTGAGCCAAGGTGCTGCTGGGAAAGAAGCAGGTAAATGATTAACCTTGTGCAGAAACTCGATTCTCGGCCATTCTCCGCCGTCTGTTGTGTGTCTGTTGTGTGTGTCTCTTGTGTGTGTGGGTGAGTGTGTAAATGTGCAGGGGCTTTCAGAATGGCCGCTGGCTTTCTTTGATCACTAATCCTTTCTCTGGCCTGACTTTCCGTCCCCAGTCCTTTTTATTCCTCTGCCCATCTCGGCACAGCTCATCTCGGCTTGTGGCCCGTAGCCATGTCTGCATTGTGAGCGGCTTTCGGCATGGGCGCCCCGCGTTACCTCCCCCCATTTCCAATCCTTCCCGCAACCCCTGGTTTTTGTAGTTGCCCTTCTCGGTGTGCCACATTCTCTGACTCGAGCAAGACGCTGGTGTTTTGACAGTTGCAGAGTTTTGGTGTGAAGATGACGTGTAGAGACAGGCAAAAAATCTCTTTCTCAACAGCTATTTTTCACTTCTCAGTCGGGGAGAAGAAGACAAAGTGGTTAGTTGATACAGACAATGTGTTCGCGATGACGCAACAGTTTGATGTGATTTTAGATTCATCCAAACCCTAACCCAAGGCTAGCAAAGGTCAAGGGTGAATATCTTGTCTTTCTCCAAGACACTTTGGGCCATGCGCTTGTAAGTCGACTGCAGCTGTGCAAATCATTTCAATTCAAATCAATTTCTTCTTCTATCAAAACCTAAATCACAACAATAGTTATTTTCGGAGGACTTTACACAACCCTTACGCAAGAAATAAAACAGAAAAACCAATGAGACCAATGTCCATAAGTGCTGATAAATGTCCAGAAATGTTGAATGTTGAGAGTCCTGGATCAAAACCACTGCAGACCAACGTCGCTCGCTCCAAATGCCACAAACATGTCCGTATGTGAGACTGCTCTATGAACACAAATGTACAAATGAACGTCTGGATTCCAATGGTTCTGAGCGTTAAAACCAGGTACAGCGTGACTATAATGGTGGAGCTGAAGCTGGCTGGATGACACTGTGAAAGCACATCCAAGCACAACATGGGCGGCACGGTGGCTGAGTGGATAGCACTCTCGCCTCTCAGCAAAAAGGTCCTGGGTTCAAATCCCGGTCGGACCAGGGCCTTTCTGAGTGGAGTTTGCATGTTCTCCCCGTGTCTGCGTAGGTTTCCTCCGGGTACTCCGGTTTCCCCTACCACTAAAAAATATGTCCAATAGTTCTGGCATGCGCCTCCTGTACTGGCCCCGCTCCCATCTCTGTGTGGAGTGAGAGACAAATGCCCAAAATTAACAATTGTAAACCGCTTTGAGACTCTGATCTGCAGTGAAAAGGCGGTATATAAATAAAGATTACTACTACTACTTACTACTACATCCATGACGTGTTTGCGTTTGCAGCAGAGGGCCACAGAAAAGGACACTATGGACCGCATTTGGTCCATGGGCCCTGGTTTGGAGACACCTGCTTTAGACTCTCCTGCATCGGCAAAAAACGACCAAAAAGTGAGAAACCTGGTTGTAAAAAAGTGAGAAACCTCGGGGAAAGCCCAGAGAGAGAGGAATCCACTCCCACAGACGGACGGGCGGAAGATCCAGGACTAGATCTTTACTTCCTCATGAAGGTTAAATTATACATTATTGTCATAGGGCAATGGGTCCACTGCATTTGACCCAAACTCCGATGCCACTAAGGCAGGGGTGTCCAAACATATTAGTAAGAGGGACCTTTAGCACCGCTATAGGGTTAATGCTTAGTTTACAGCAGCAATATGTAAGATTTTCATGTCCAGTCATCATTAAAGGGCCCTAATCTGTCATCATTAAAGGGCCCTAATCTGTCATCATTAAAGGGCCCTAATCTGTCATCATTAAAGGGCCCTAATCTGTCGTCATTAAAGGGCCCTAATCTGTCATCATTAAAGGGCCCTAATCTGTCATCATTAAAGGGCCCTAATCTGTCATCATTAAAGGGCCCTAATCTGTCATCATTAAAGGGCCCTAATCTGTTACAATAATAATCTGCTCTTTTCCAATACTTCTTTAACTGATAACAATAGTTCAGAGATATTTGAATTTCTAAATTACTTTTCCAGCCTCTAAATCTTGTTATTGTTTTCATTTCGATGTCCCGCCCTCCACCGTTTCACCAATCAGAAAGTCTGTGATCCGGGCGCCAGAACTCACCGTGTGGAGCTAATCTCACTGGTAAAGTACCATGTGGCGCAGAACTAAAAAAGGTCTCGTTATGATTCTCAAACCATTAACGACAAAACAAGGAATAAAAGCAGGATTTCTATCTTTGTGAAAAAGGTGTTGGTTATAGATTTGTTGTTGACTAAACTCTTGTCTATTCAGCTGTTATGGTCCCAGCTGGATTCGTCTGCATATCTGGCAACCTGAGTCAGGGAGAGTGGGAGAGGCTGCAGTACCACTTTGGGCCACATGTTTACACACAGCTCCTTTAAAATCTGTTTATCGCTTCATTCACAGCTGCAGTGCTAAAGCAAACAACAGCAAGCAGACATTTTCTTACTTACTCTGCACACACATATGATCGCTCTCTTCTTCCCTGTACCCTCACCACCTCTTGGGAATCACTAAGCCTCTCTCTGCTCTCTCCACCACTCGCCCATACATTCACATTCATTTCCTCGAATCGCAGACACAGGCATTCCCGGCATCTCCAGACGATTCTCCTCCGGTGCAGGGTCCTCGCCGTGCTCTCCGCAGCCGCAGTCGTGTCCGTGGATTACAGCCTAAGACCCCAAACGGCCCCAAACGCATTAATATTCATGTCTCTGCGTTCTTACGGTCGGCCAGACAGTGCCACTGAGACCTTGTAATCCCCGCACTCCCTGCCACACTACCACGGGTTAGCATTAGCATATTCCCCTCCGAACGGACGGCTGGTGTGACCACTAGAGGGCAAGGAGAAATGCTAATTAGTGCAGGGTTTAATCGTCCCCAAAGTACAAAGATACACACATTATATATTTAAAAACGGGAGAAACGGGGTCTGAAAAAATGTGTTTTAATGACACAGTGGAGCAGAAGAAGAGAAAAGATACGGTCTATTTGTCCTGTCTCGGTTCCACGCGCTTTTCTTCACCATAATAAGCACGTCCCACGGTAAATACAGGGTTCATTGTGACCTTATGCAACTGTTTTATATCTTTGCTCAATTATACATTTGTTGGGAAAACACACATTCAGTTTCCGGTAACTATGGTAACTGTCAAAAGTCAGATTTCTAGTCTTAGTTTGGAGCAAGTTTCTCTGTGAGTCTTGAGGATAATTCATCTTTATCAGAGTAGAAAGAGACGGGATCTGGTTTGCGGACAAAGGGATGGAAGGAGTCCTCGTTTCCACAAAATCTCACTTATTTTCACTTGTAATGATGTGTT